AAACGTCTCTTAAGAAAAAAAACAAGAAAGAGATGGCCCTGAAACGAAGTGCTCTCAGTAACCGAGGGCACAGGAGGGGGCGCTTGGCCCTGGGTGTCCTGAGTGTAGAAGCTCAGCTGGGTTCCACGTCCTGTCAGGTGGGGGCCAGCCTCCGTATCGTCGCCGTTGTCAGTCTCGGGAATGAAACAGGGTTGACAGATGAGGCAGATTCCAGTACAGGCTGGTCCGTTACATTAGACCTTCACGTAAAGGATGGATATCTGTTTGGTATACGTGTATCCCTTGCAGTATCTGAGACGTACAGGTAGTCAGAGACCCAAACCCATGGTTTCCTTGAGATTCAGACGGACGCGAAACACGGCAGCCTTCAGACCAGGCCCGGAGGGAGTCCGCAGCCTGTGTCCGGTAGCCCAGCCATCCAGTGCCCAGTTAGGCTGGGCATCCGGAGCACTTTCTTTCTGCAAAGTTGGGGAGTGTGGAATTCAGCAGTCCTCCCTAACTTGAAAAATTCCAGGGACAATCAGCAGCTCACCTCATGGCAGGCCACCAGGACCCCCAGTTAGGATTCTCCGCCAGCACTTCCATGGCCCTGCAGTCTTTTCTTCTTCTTCTTTTTTAACTTTTTCAATTTTGCCAGAGGGCAGGTATGCTTACAAGCGGGGGATGGGGGGGTGTTGAGAAAGTACCCCCTGGTCAGGCTGCAGTCCCTTCTTCACTTCTCCCTCGTCTTGGAGTTTGGGGCATGCACACACATGCGCCTGCTGTGTTTTTCAAACCACTGGGGCTGGGACTTGAACCACGCAGTCAGCCACGTGGGATCCAGCCACCTTAATCACCACACCTTCAGTTGACCCATGTGCTGCAATTCCTCTTAATAGGACTGGAATCTTTTCTGTCTTTCTGGGTAAAGCTGAAGGGCGAGCTTGGTATTTTAAAGGGCTCCTGTTCTGGCCTTGTTTCAAACACCCGCGCAGGGCATCGCTCAGATCCACTTGGCCGACTGCGACAGCGCGAGTGAGATGCAGCTGCGCTGGCACTCCGTCCAGGTCTTCAGCAGCTCCGAGCCACCCAGGGCGCGTGAGGATGGGCGCGCAGGACAGAGCGGCGCGCGGGACCTCGCTCGCACACTCTCCGGCAAAACGGTTCGTGGCCCTGGTTTAGGGAGCCAGCTCTGCTGCTCTCCTGCCGCCGAGACCGGCTTTTGCGTGGGGAAATCGCTCTTAGGAGGTGTCTGTGTACCCTTACCGTGGGATGTAGTGGCGAGGGAGTAGTGCTTCGTGGGAAGCGATATGTACGGACAGTCTGTTTTTCACATGAATGTGTCCCTGGTCACAAGTGTCACATTGATTATTTTATTTTGAAAAGAAAAAGTTTTTAAGATAGGATCTGACAATCTTGCAATCCTCCTGCCTCACCCTCCTAAGTGATGGGGACTCTAGCTGCCTGTCTTTTCAGGGTGGGCTAGGAATCGAACCTGGGTCTCCGATGTGGCCTCAGCCTGCTAAGTAATGGTTCACCTAGCGCTTACTGCCGTGGCTGGACCATGCATTGGTTGCCTTTAAACTTGAGCCGTGGGCCTGTGTTGCTGCACAGTCGGGGGTTCTTCCCCTGCAGAGCGGCTGGAGGTAGGGTGCAGTGGGTGCTCCGTGCTGGGCACACGGGCTGTCCCCCTGCTCGCCACGCTGAGCAAGGGGGCGAAGCTGGTTCTCAGGCACCCTTTGCCCCTGCAGGATGCGGTGACGGTGCTGCTGGCTAAAACCACAGCCCAGCTGCAGGCCGTGGAGAGAGAGCTGGCCGAGGAGCGGGTGAAGCTGGAGTACACCGAGGAGGAGATCCTGGAGATGGAGCGGAAGGAAGAGCAGGCCGAGGTCGTGTCCGAGAGGTGCGGGCCAGTTCTCGTGCCAGAGGGGCACAGCCTCTCCGGGCAGGGCATCTTTACAAAGTGCAGGGGAGCAGAAATGTCTTCTTGGGGCAAGGCAGGGGTGTGCCAGGGCCCCAGGGCTGTCCTCGAGGAACAGTGTCCTGGGGTGCAAGTTGCTGTTCTCTAGGCCTCCATAGAATGTATGGGCACTTCCTACCACTGCCCAGAAGTCGGGATTCTGGCAGGGAATTTAATGCCGACCTGGGCCAGGGCAGTGCCCTGAACCACCCCCCAGCTCTGCACGTCAGCTTTTCACCATCCTATTCTGTTCGGGAATCCTTCTCCAAGGGTGGGACTATTGAGTGACTCTTCACCAGCACTGAATACTGTGAGGTCCCTCTAAGTTGCTGTTGTTTAAAAAAACAAACAAAAATCAGCTTTATTGAAATATAATTTTAGCGTATGATTTCATGGTTTTTAGTACAGTCTCAGAGTGGCCACCATCAGTCACCACGGTCAGTTTCCCAGCGCTCCCGTCAGGCAGAAGGAAGCTCTGACAACCACCAGTCTGTTTCTGGGGTCCTTGCATTTGCCAGTTCTGGACACTTCCTGTACATGGCCTTAGGCGGTGCCCCTTGATGTCGCACCCGAAGCAGGCTGAGTGGATCCTTGACTCTGTAGAGACCTGCATGCAATAGACAAGTGACTCCGACGAGCTCACACCTCGAGTGAAACGGCTTTGGTCTGGCCATCTCTGGAGACACACCCGTATTGTCCTACCTCCACATTCCCCGTAAAGAGCAGCATCTTGCCCACACTTCCTGCTTGTGCCCACTGGCTTTCCCTGTCTTTGGTTTAGAGAGGAATTTATTTGTGGAGGGGTCAAGCCTGCTTGTGGGGGTATTGTATTCTGGGACGGACAGGAAGTCGGATGAGGGCGTGGTTTTCTGGCACCCTCAGTGACTGCAGCCGGGTGATAAAAACAGATCCTCGTAATGAAGGGCCTTGATGTGTTACCTGCCCTAGAAAACAGAAATGCCCTTTTGCTTTAGAGTAAAGCAACCATCGTCCGTCGCTGGGAACAAATAGGTTTACTTGGGTGCCTCTGCTCTGAAAACAGCAGAGAGGTTGATGCGTACTGGGTGGGCTTTTGTAATGTCCACCTTTAGGAGTTGGCAGGCTGACTCGGTCGACAGTGGCTGTGGGAACTGCACCCAGACCAGCCCCCCGTATCCAGAGCCCTGTTGTGTTGGTGTCAACTCTACCCATGGACACATCTTTACTGGCCAGGCAGATCCTTACAGCCCCGAGAAACTTCAGCCCCTTCCACTTAAGGTAAGGAGAAAACATTGGGGACTTGATGGAGCCCCCTTGTATAACGCCAGGCACTGCCCTGGGAGGAGAGGGTGTGCCCCTACATCCTTCATGGGAGGCATGAGGCAGCAGGTGGAGATGCTCTAAAGGAAGCTGGCACCGGTGGAGTTGTCTGCGATGTTAGGACAGGGCTTACCTGAGAACACACCTGGTGTGGGGGGGGCATGGGGACATTGCGGGGTAAGTTGAACAGTGCTGTTGGATTGGGGCCAACACCGAGGCCACACTTTACTGAGAGCAGAGGAAAAGAACTGAATGTCTCAGATCTGCAGAGTGCCTGGAGTGTGCACGGCAGGTGCTGTAGAAGTGATTGTCGACTTCAGATTAGAAGGAAAGGACGGCTGTAACTAACGTAAGGTAGGATTTTACTCCACGTGCCGTCAGTAGCGATCCATTTCTGTCTTCGGAAATGCACAAGGCTCAGGCAGTTTTGTGGGTTCCAGAAATTTTGGATGCTTATATATATATATATAGGTTGAGGATCCCTTATCCAAAATGCTTAGGACTAGAAGTGTCATAGATTTTTTTAATTTAATATTTGCCCACACATAATAAGGTATCTTGGGGATGGGACCCGAGTCTGTCCACAAAACTCATTTATGTTCCATGTACACCTCACACACACAGGCTGAAGGTAACTTTGCATGCTATCCCTGTGTCACTATGGTCATGTGTGGAATGTCCCTCCCACTCGTGATTTGACATCAGCACTCGCTTTCTGTCTCTCTGGCTCTCTCTGTCTGCCTGGCCATCGCACGCACCCTATAGCGAAAACCCCTCAAAAAAAAAATTAATCTATAGGACAGTTGCTGGAATAATGCAGCAAGTACCCATACACCTACAATTTAGACTCCTCAGTTGTTAGTTCTCCATCACATTAACATTCTCTTCTTCCATGTGGTGCTAGGCTTTGAAGAAACAGCAAGATAAAAAGCAAGCAAAACTATTGCCCTCAAGGGAGGCAGAGGATGGACAAGATGGTAGGGAAGCAGAGTTTTGCATTTTTAGGAAGGTTTGCAATTTTAGAGAGGGTTTACATTTAGAAACATAAGTCTATGTTTAGGAAGGCTACGATTGCAAAATGGTGCACTGCTATGAAAAATAATATGATGGACCCGTGAAACATTAGAATAGAATGACCAGACAGTCCGGCAACCCCATTTCTGGCTATGTATCCCAAAGAGCCAAAAACAGGACTTTGAAAAGGTGTTTGTCCAGCGGTGTCTGCAGAAGCCTCACTCACGGGCACACCCATTGATGGACGAATGGGTCAACAAAGGCTGTCTGTCCACACATTCGAAGAAGCTTCATCCTTAAAAAGGAAGAAGATTCAGACACGTGCTACAGTGTGGGTAAATGCTGAGGACATTAGACCCAGTGAAGTAAGGCAGGAACACAGGGCAAATACTATGTGAGTCCCCTCTTCTGAGGTGCCTGGAGTAGTCAGATCCACAAAGAAGGGAGGACCGTGGTTTCTGGGGGCAGGGCAGAGAGCGGAGGATAGGGAGGTTCTGCGTACCAGGACAGGGGCTCAGTTTTGCAAGCTGAAGAAGTTCTGAAGATCTGTTTCCCAGTTTGAATAGGCTTAACACTATTGAACCATACCCTTCAAAATGGTTATGGTGGCACATTTGTAAGTGATGTGACTTTTACCACAATTTAAAAAGAAAACGAGATAGGCCATGAGAAGTCTCACCGAGAAGACAGGCTTTGAGTAGAGGCCTTAAGGCGGAAGCTCGAGGGCCTCCTGCAGGGTGGGGAAGAGCCAAAGGCAGATGCAGAGGGGGAGGTAGGGCCGGAGGAAGGGCACGGGGTGGTGGGCACTGACGACAGAGGACAGAAGGAGGGAGGGAGGGGCCCGAGTGGTGGATGGGAGGGGCCAGGGCTTGTGGGCCTCGCAGGACCCTGGCTTTTTTTCTGACAGGCGTGAGGAACTGGTGGGATGGTTTTGAGTGTGGGGGTGGGTGGGGTGGGGGGGGAGTGTGTGTGTGTGTGTGAGACATCGTCCAACCTGGTTTTTTTCCTAGATTAACTTATTGAGGTGAAATTCACATAACATAAACTGAGCCCTCGAAATTCAGGGCATCGTGTCGTACAGTCACCACCTCTGTCTAGGCCCCACAGCTGCCAAAGCCCCTTGCTGTCCCTCCGGGTTGCCTATTCTGGGTGACTCCCGTGAGAGGAACTGGATAGTACGTGGCCTTCCGCGTCTGGTGTCTTTCACTTGGGTGGAAAATGCTCCTGAGGTTCACCGAGGCTGCAGCACGTGTCAGGACGTCCTTGCTCCTGTGGCCGAGAACGACATTCGGCTGTACGGATGGACCATAGTTCGTTACGTGGTAGTTCCCCGATGGACACTCGAGCTGCTTCCACCCGCGGGTGGTTGAATAACCCTGCCACAGACACTCGCCTGCGAGCCTTTATTTGACACCCGTTTTCAGTTCTTTGGAGTATGTTCCCAGAAATGGGGTTGCAGGGCCTGACCTGGGTTTTCCCAGATCTCCCTGGTAGCTGCGTGGAGGACAGACTGCAGGGGCAGGGTGTGGAGCTGGGGACACTGGCGAGATGCCTGCAGCAGTAATCTGGGTGGGACATGATGGCGACTTGGATGAAGGGTTGGTGACAAGTGGTCAGAATCCCTTTAACCTTCAACGGAGAGCCACCGGGGTTTGCCCTGGGACGGGCCGCGGGGTGTGTGAGTGGGCAGAGCCTGGGAAGGCTGTGGGATGCTCTGGCCAGTGGGAAGAGGAGATGGTGGCCGAGCAGGGGCCGTGGGGTGTCCCAGCTCCGCCGGCTGCGTTGCCTGTGCGTGCCAGGCCAGAGGTCCCGGAGACGGCCGTGGTGACGCGCGAACTCCCGCCTAGGTTGACAAGGAGACCAACACGGAAGATCTCTTCCCGGAGGAAGCGGCGAGCCTCCTGAAGGAGCGGCCCAGCCGCCGGGCCCGCGGGTCACCGTTCGTCCGGAGCAGCACGATCGTGCGTTCTCAGACCTTCTCGCCCGGAGCTCGGAGCCAGTATGTTTGCAGAGTAAGTCGGGTGCCTTCGTCCGCTGTCTGCGACGCTTCCTTTTGTGGTATTTGCGTTTAAAGACACGCCTGCATGCTCACAAATGGCGCTGGTGGAGGACCACCGTGGGCGTGCGGGGGTGAACCCGCGCTGTGGCGGCAACTCCGTGCTCCCGCCAGACCCGTGAACCGGGACCCCTCAGCGTTCTAGTTCATTGCCCCCAGATGTTCAGTGCTGTGTATGCGCCGACTTGTGGTCAGAAAGCCAAGGACAGGCGCTGCCGGGTTGAGATCTGGGGCGCTGGGTCTTTCTGAGTGTTGGAAATCCCGACATGTCACTGTGTCATGGCAGGGGGGTGGGCAGGAGCTTGAGAATTGTGGGTGCTAAGGCAGTGGACTCTGTCTCACCTGCATTAAACTCATACTCTGTGGTGAGGGGGGGAGCACCCATGGGACTTCAAACTGACGCTGAGTCCCATCCCCAAGGCTTTATCACCGATAACAGATAGGGCCTGGGAATCAGCGCTTTTGGAAGCTCCCAGAAGTGGGCAGGGGACCCCCCAGCCGCTTGGTTGCGGAGGTCGCCAGACAGTGGTACTCTGACAGCAGCAGCACGGACTTGGACAGGGAAGAGCTCATGGCACCGTGGCCTGGAGGGGCCACTCTGGCCTGGGGCTGTAGAAGACAGGCCTGCTCTGGAGTGGGGCTCCCATGGAGCTGACTACACGGCGGCAAAGCCAGAATTAGATCCCAGGAGGGAAATGCCCCTATGCCCTCGAAGGCAGCCTTGGGAACAGCAGGTGGCAGGCTTGGTGGCCCCGCACCTCTGCCACGTCTGCGAGCCCTGCTGCCAGTCTCTGCAAGGGTCCGAAGTATCCTTTGACAGCTGCCCTGGCAGCACAGAGCTGAGTCCAGGCGTTCCCACCCTGTCACACCCCAGCCCTGTGGAGGCCGATTCTGAAGCAGGTGGCTGCGCGGGCCAGATTAAGGCCAGCCTCCTGTCCCTTCCCTAGCGTTGTCTCTTGCTGAACTCTGAAGAGCAGACTCCAGATTGCTTTCTGAGGATGGCAGGGAGGTGAAGGGGCAAATGCCTCACTGTCCCAGAGCACAATCACCTGCCCTGTGTGTGCTGTCCCCTAGGTGAAGGCCACATTTCTCGACCTTGGGTTCAGAGACCTCACTGTCTCTGTGTGCTTGTGTGATCATGGGACAGGCGGACTGTCATGCTGCTGGACTTGCCGAGTATTTCCGCTTAACTGGGGCGGGGACTGCGGCTTTTACACACATACACATTGGTCCTGAGTGGAGACCCCACTACCAAAGGAACCCACCACGTCTTAGCTCCCAGAAACAGGGCATTCCTTATCTCCCCCCTTGCTATAAGGCACATGTGCTCGCCAGAGAGAGACAGAGACAGAGAGGGAGAAAGTGATAAATCACCTCCCGGAGGGAATGGCCATGCCACAGTCCCTTCTCTTCCCGTCTCAGGATTTGGGCATGCACACACATGCGCCTGGCATGTTTCTCCAGCTGCTGGGTCCCGGATTCAAACTGGGCAGCTGGCCATGTGGGATCTGGCCTCCTGAACTGCAGTGCCATCTGCTGACGCCCTTATCTCCCTTTGCCCCCTACTGGCACAGCATGGTCACTGGTGTTGACTTGTCCCACGCCTAGGACCAAGTCTGTTTTGAAAAGTCATTTTCCCAGCTCTAGACAAAGCCAGAGACACAGCACAGGACAGGGAACACATGAAGCGTGCCGAGGACAGTGCTGGCTTCCCTGGTGCCAGGGAGCAGGTGGCACGGGTGACGCGGAGCTTTCTGTTCGTCCTTCATTTCACCTGGGACGCTTGCACCAGTTTTTCTTTAACTGAAACCCACAGCAGTCACAAGGGTGTGGAGCGTATACGAGTCACCTGTCAGTCCATGTGGCGGCCACGTGCCATTTCCGAGCACGTGTTTGTGAACATATTTCTTTTTGGCACAGCTTTATCGTAGTGACAGTGACAGTTCAACCCTGCCCCGGAAGTCCCCGTTCGTCCGAAATACTTTGGAAAGACGAACCCTTCGTTACAAGCAGGTGGGTGCCGTGTACACTAGTGGGGAATCTCTACCTGTTCTTGGAGTTATTTTTACAAATGTTAAAAGGTAATATTTTAGGTAATTTTTAAAGTCATGTTAATTAAAAGGTAATGTTTTAATTTTCTCGTTTAACAGATAGAATTTTTGAAAGCATGCTTACTGTCATAATATTATTTCTCAACGATGTCATAACTTCAGAAACTTTGTGCTCTTTACGTTCTTAGATGTAATGATTTCTGTATAAAGAGGTTCTTTTTCTTTTTTCTCTTCCCTTTTTAATGAGAGAGAGAAGGGGAGAGAGAAATGGACAGGTCTTCTCGACAGGCTCTTGCCAGGTCCTGATCCCCCTACCGGGCCTCCCACGTGGCCCCAGCCTCACACAGTGGTGCCCTAGCACGTGTGCCCCAGAGCTGGGCCTCTTCTCTTTTTGACGGCAGAGTTCACGCCCTTTAGTTTCCAGCATATAGCATTTGTCTGCACGGGACTGTCCTGCGGTCTCCATGTCCCTGCTCGCCAGGTTTTTCTCCACATCAGGCCAGTCGGCAACGTTGTGGTGCTTGTAGTCTGTAAGCTGGTGGCTGCCGTCTTTCCTGGCGCACCCTTTGGGGTAATAGGAGAGATCCAGCTGTGCTCGGGCAGCTGCTGACAGAGGGTGGTAAAAAGGAGCACAGTGACACATGGGGTCACCCTCTCTGCCGTGAGGGATGCCCTGTGCCTGGAGGACACCAGGAGGACCCAGCTATCAGTCATGACAATCAAAATGTCTCTGTCCCCAGGATGCCCGATCACCCCTGGGTGACAACCACTGAGCTCTGTTGGGAATTCAGCAGCACCTTTTTTTTTTTTTTTTTTTTTTTTTTGGAGAGATTTTCACTGTAGGGCGCGTGCGCTCGCCAGACAGACAGAGAGAGACATAGAGACAGAAAGCGAGAAATCACCCCCCAGGGGGGATGGTCACGCCGCAATCCCTTCTCCTCCATTCTCCTCTCGGGATCTTGGGCACGCACGCACATGCGCCCGGCGTAAGTTTTAGGCCCCCGGGTCCGGGACACGAACCGCGGTCGACTACGTGGGAATCCAGCGACATAGCCACTACGCTAACTGCTGGTTCCCACCTTTTTCTCTTTCTTTCTTAACTTTTTTTTTCTATTTTTACAGATTTTTGCTATAGGGCAAGTGCACTCACTGGAGAGAGGGAAAGTGAGAAATCACCCCCCTGGGGGGATGGCCATGCCACAATCCCTTCTCCTCCATCTTCCTCTCGGGATCTTGGGCACGCACGCACATGTTCCTGGCATAATTTTCAGACCACCAGGTCTGGGATTCAAACCATGGTTGACCACGTGGGAAGCCATCACCTTAACCACCGTACCACCTGTTAGTCCCCCCGTGCTTTTAAGTGAATCCATATTTATTCGATTATAACCCATGTTTGCACTTAAGTTCTGTGTATGTGCAAGATGTTTGTGCGCCGAGAGCATGCAGCTCAGCCCGCCAGGCGGAGGTGATCTGCGTGGGGCCTGTGGTCTGCGGCCTGGCTGCATCCCAGGGCCGTCTCCCCTTGGGTGGGAGGTGCTGCTGGGCTCCACCAGCAGGAGTCTTGTCTTCTCCCAGGGCTTCCTGGGACAGGGTGCATTTACATAATTGAAGCTTACACAGGCAGGAAAGTTCTCACACTTTGCGTGCCCGCATATGCGCGTGTGTGTGCACACACAGGTGTCTGTGTGTGCTTTTTAAAACAAAAAGGACTTGTGCTGTTTGTAGCATGCTTTTTTTTCCTTTACACAGTGGATCATTAAGATTTTTCATGTTGATGTGTTTTTCAAATTCTTTTTTTTTTTTTTTTTTTTTTTTGAGAGAGGTTTTTGCTACAGGGCATGTGCACTCGCCAGAAAGACAGAAAGCTAGAAATCACACACACACACACACCCCTGGGGGGATGGCCACACTGCAATCCCATCTCCTCCATTCTCCTCTTGGGATCTTGGGCACGCACACACACGCGCCCAGCGTAAATTTAAGCCACCGGGTCCGGGACTCAAACCACAGTCGACTACATGGGAGTAGCTATTACGCCATCTGCTGGTCCCTGTTTTGTTCCATTTTCACAGTGGCTGCATTTTATACTGGCCTCGTTCCGATCTAATTAACCGGTTTCCTGTTGTTAAGATTTTTTTCTTGTCATAAGGCTTAATTGGATCCCTTTTGCTCATTGCTGGTTGTGCCTTTCAGAGGCAAGTCAAAAATAACATTTCAGAAGCAAAGAAAGTGCATGTTTTTGGTTTTAGACATACATGATCAACTGGCGCCTCAGAGAGGTAGTGCAGTTTTAGATCCTGCTGCAGAGTCTGCTGCTCTGCACTCGCCAATGCGGAGGTCGTCAGGAAAGAAAGGCTTCCTTTTCCGACCTCGATATTGAAGTGGAGATTTACATTTATCTTGCCCAGTTCTCTGTGTTTTTAAACTATGAGCCATGCTTAGAAATCCTCGTGTCTCCCCTATCTCTTACTGATTGTGGAAGAACCTTCCAGAAGGCTGTGAGTGCCTGCACAGCCAGCCGGCATGCATGCTCACAGCAGCCATCTCCTGCAGTCCTGCAGGTCTTCCCTGGCTGAGCTCATGGCTCGCACCTCCCTGGACCTGGAGCTGGATCTCCAGGCGTCGAGAACGCGGCAGAGGCAG